ACCAGTGGTTTATTTTTCCGATCACGTTGGCAGAGATCACGGGGGATGGAGCTTATTTGGTCAGAATGAATGCTAATTAATAAACTTTATTTATTTGGGTTGGAGCTCGCCGCAGCCCAAGGGTCAGGCACAGACGACTGTTGGAAGTGTCCACAGCACTTGAGAAAGGCAGGATAGGCGGGCTAAGTTTATTTGTCTCCAAAGAATTCTCAGCTAATTCCCTCCAGGCTATTGAGATCCTAAATTACACAGAGTAGAAGAACCACGGGCACACAAGGCAGAGAGACACTGGATGTTTGGCAGCGAGCAGGGCTTTTAAGTGTCTTTGGGTCACAGTCAGGCAAACAAATGGTATGTGTGCCCATCACTCTGTCATTGTGATGTCACTGGGAACAGTGTCACTTAGATTATAAGAGATTGAAAGCCGCAGCTGGCCCCCCTGTCTCAAGCTTCTGACCCAACCTCAGCAGAGCAGTGGGTGCTGGTGGGGATCTGGGTTTTGTAAATTCTGTTTCATGCTCCTTTGGTTTTATTTTATGTTTGTTTGCTTGCTTGCTTTTCATTTGTTTGTCTTGTTTTGTTTTTTGTTTTTTGGTGGTTTTTTTTGTTTTTGTTTTTTTTTTTGAGACAAGGTTTTTCTGGATAACAGCTCTGGCTGGCCTGGAACTTGATCTGCGGACCAGGCTGGCCTCGAACTCACAGAGATCCGCCTGCCTCTGCCTCCTGAGTGCTGGGATTAAAGGCGTGCACGGCCACCTCTCGGCTGCTCCTTTGGTTTTATTTTAGTTTTGTTTGTTTGTTTTCTGTTCTGGGGGTGGAACCAGGCCCATTCATCTAAGCGCCTCTACACTGAGCTGCACCCTTCAGCCTCTTGTTTCTTCTTTAGTGTCTGATTCTCACTAACGTGCTCAGGCTGACCTTGAACTCAGTCTGTGGACCAGGCTGCCTTGGAATGTGCGATCTCTCACAGTGATCTTTAAACGTGTTTAATCACATGCGGGAAGCAGAGAGTGGTCCTGGAGCCAAAGGAGACTGCACGCAAGCTCTCCTGGGATGCAGCCCACCCAGTGAGCACCAGCCCGGGAGAGAGAGAGAGGATGCCGGGATGAGACAGGGCACGCACACCAACTGGGGCTCGGAGAGAACTAATTGATTTTCCAAATACCTAAAGCCAAGCTTGGAGCTCAGATGGAATCCTGTTCTCAGGAGGCAAAGCAGGAACCGGTGACAAGCAGGTCAAACAGTGGCCCTCGCTGGACTAGAGTTGTGGCCTCAAGGGCTGTGCCCTGAAGGCTGCTGCCTGGGCTTCAGTGCTGAGTCCCCGCATCCTTCCACCTCCGTACAGGAAGGGACCAGAGGACCAGGCTGTCACACAGAGTTCTCATTTGTTGAACAACGCCTGTCTGTGCTCTTGCACTAAGGACACTTAGCAGCTCACACCAACTTGAGTCCTAGAGCTAGTAGCTACTGTCCCTAAACTCCCATTATGGAGACTTCCTCCAGGGACCAGACACTGCTCAGGTCTGTCGTGGAGGCTGTGGACATCTCTGCACTGGTTGAGATGACAGAGGCTAGAGGTTCATCAATATGGGCTCTGAGAGCTGGGACAATGTCACCAAGCCTGGGAGTGAGGTGGCTGTGGGAGGGGACCTTGGAGGGATGGGGCTACTGGGCCTTCCAGCGGACATGGGTCCCAACCCCAGCTACACCGCCTGGAATGAGAGAGCCTGAGAGCCTCAGTTTCCCCATGTGGGAAGTGGCTCAGCACCTCATATCCATGCTGGACTTTGCTGGGAGGCCACTGAAATCATTTCTTGCCCAGACTGATTTTTCTGGAGTGTTCTGCCTCCAACTATCCTGCTGTCGTGCCCCTAGGGGGCACTGGCTAAAGCCCCTTGATGGACCCTTGTGGCCCTGGGGAAGGGGCCTGGGCACTGAGTCTTGGCTATAAGTCACCACCATCATATCTGGCCTCAAGTGCCATTGTTTCTTCCCACAGCCACTCAGCGGGGAAGCCTGCAAAAACGGTTTTAATTTAAACACCCCCAGTTTCCAATTGCTCAGAAACTTCCAGAAAAACTCTCCTTTTTTGGCTGAAATGCCTCCTGCATTGGGTGTGTGCCCAAGCGGCGATGCCTGAAGCAGGGCGGAAGTCAGCTCTGGGGATGGCTCATGTTCCAGAAGCTTCCATCTCTACTTTGGGGTTCTTGTTCACCACCTGACATTCTTTCAGCACCCGGCCTTAGTTATTTTGGTTTAGGATTTCTCTCCCGTCCAGGGGTGAGGGGGTGGGGTGGGGACGGGAACATTCCCAGGCACCAGGCACACTCATCCATCTTAGCCTTTCCTCATAAGATCGGACAGGAGTGTGGAGTGACAAGGAAGCGGGGGGAGGGGAGCAGGTGACAAGGCCAGCCTGCACCAGCCGAGCTGCACTCCCCCTCACAGTCGGCTCACGTTTGCAAGTATTTCCCAAAGAGGGAAAACTGCATACAAACTCCTGCTGTCACTCAGCCCTGTGCATTTTGGAGCAGAGGATGCCTGGACATGGGGGTGGGACTGGCCTGTTGCTGGAGTACACTGACTAGCCTCCCTAACTTACTGGTAGTCCCAGGAGCACCCCTGGTAAAAATCGTCTGCAGGGCTGGGCTGTAGCTCGGTGGAGTGCTTGCTGGTGGAGCCTGAGACCCTGGCTCCATCCCCAGCATTGAATACAGACACACTGAAAGTGGGATGAGGGGCTGGGCGCAGTGGTATGCAGGTCTCTAATCCCAGCACTCAGGAGTCAGAGGTCTCAGGATCTCTGCGAGTTCAAGGCCAGCTTGGGCTACATAGAGAGTTCCAAGGCAGCTAGGGCTATACAGAGAAACACTGCCTCAAAAACAAAATTACATTTTTATTTATGTTGTGAGTGTGTGCACAGTTGTAGGGGGATGCATGTGCCCCAGTGCTCCTGTGGAGGTCGGGGACATTTTTCATGGGAGTCAGTTCTCGCCTCCTACCATGTGGTTCTGGGGGTTGAACTCAAGACAGTCAGGTTTGTCTGCAAGTGTCCTGGCCACTGAGGTATCCTGCTGGCCCCTCTTTTCATTTCCCTTTCCCTCACCTAACACACTCATGAGCCCTTGCACTCTCTTGTGAGCCCTTGCACTCTCGCTCTCTTGTGTAGTTTTAGGGACAAAGCCCAGGGCCTCCCCTCTGCCAGGCAAGTGCTCTTCCCCCAAGCCACAAGGTTTTCTTTGAGTATCAGAACCAGGGAGGAACGTGTCACTAAAGAAACAAAATACAGCGTATGGGTTAGAATCCCAAAGACGGCCTGAGAGCAGGCGCTAATGGCCCCCAGCAGCAGTGGTGGGCAGCGTCCAGGACAGGCCTGTAAGGGTGCCTGGCCACACCCAACACTTGCTCACTGGCCACAACCCCCACCTCTAGGAATCGGTAGCAAGTGTGCGCAGCAAAAACACACGCTCCTGTTTCGTGGGGGATTCGTTGTAATATTCTTTTAGCTTCAAAAAACTGGAAACGCACCAAGTGTCCATCATGAGGACCCGTGAACAAACCACAGCACAATTGCCTAAGGAGTAAATACTGTGCCCTGTGAAGAGGAGCAAGAGGTGCCCTTCACCAGCTGAATAAATGAGCCCCAGGAAGGCTTGTTACAGGAATGCAGAGGGCGGGGAGCATGGACAGTGCAAACGACACTTTCCCTAGATGAGAAAGAAAATACTACACACATTGTATTATACTGAGAGAAAAAAAAGGACACTACTGGAGGGGTGGAGCAAAAACTAATTAAAAGGCTAGAAAGATGGCTCCGTGGTTAAGAGCAATGGCTGCTCTTCCAGAGGACCCGGGTTCAGTTCCCAGCCCCAACATGGCAGCTCACAACTGTCTGTAACTCCAGTTCCAGGATACCCGACACCCTCACACAGACTCAGGCAAAACACCAACATACATAAATAAATCTTAAAAAAAAAAATCTAATTAAAGAACTGGCTCCTGCAGGTAGAGGGAGGACAAGAGGGAAAAACAGCCGAGTGTGCAGACCTGAAACGGAAGGTTCCAGAATATTAGAAAATAAGACAGCCCAGTCAGACCCCAGCGCCTGTGGCATGGCAGCATGCTTGTTGGCCTCTAAGTTTGAACCACGATGATGCAGTCTTATGAACCACGGGGCTCGGGACTGGGGAACCCGGGGCCTCCGCGCTGCTTTGCACCCTCCTGTCTCAGCTGGACAGGGCACTGGCTGGGAGGTAGCTCAGTGGTAAAATGCCTGCTGTGTAAGCGTGGGGACCTGAGTTCAGGTCCCCAGCATCCATGTGGAAAGCCCAGACACCTGTAACTGCAGCATGGGGTGGGGGTGTAGACAGGCAGATCCTGGGGAGCTTGCCGACCACAAAGTCTGTCTCGCTCTAGTTCAGAGAGAGACACTGTCTCAAATGAATGGATGGATGGATGGATGGATGGATGGACAGACGGATTGATACATGGATAGATGAGGGAGTGGATGGATGGATGGATGGATGGATGGATGGAGAGGTGAATGGATATTATGGATGGATAGACAAATGGATGGATGGATATATGGATGGATGGATGGATGGATATATGGAGAGGCAGACGGATGGGTGGGTGGGTGGATAGATGGGTGGGTGGATAGAAAGATGGGTGGATGGATTGGCAGGTAGGCAGATATGTAGATGGGTAGATGGATATGTAGATGTAGATGGTTGGATGGATGGATATATGGATGGATGGATAAACTAGTAGGTGGGTGAGTGATAAATGGACAAAGGCAAAAGGTAGCAGGTTAGCTAAGAGGACATGTTCCAACCCTCAGGTCAGGCCACCTGCAGAGGTAGACACAGGAAAGCCAATGGAAGAGGAGCAGATGGCTGATACTGTGGACACCCCTGGACAGGGCCACAGGGACCCCGTGTATCACAAGGGGTGTTGTGGGCACAGTGCAGCTACTCTGCTGACCCTCCATCTTTCCTTAGGTGACTGTCCCAGCCCGGGCCGTGGCCATGCCACCAAACGAAAGAAGAAGCAGCGACGGAACCGAACCACGTTCAACAGCAGCCAGCTCCAGGCACTGGAGAGAGTGTTCGAGCGCACGCACTACCCCGACGCCTTTGTGCGTGAGGAGCTGGCCCGGCGTGTCAACCTCAGCGAGGCGCGTGTCCAGGTAAGTAGGACCCATCCAGAGGCTCCCAGAGAGCCCACATCCCTGGTGCCCACTGGTGGCCCAGGAGCAGGCACTTGCCAGGGGAGAGAGGGGTTAGCTCAGAGCACCTGGGGCCAGGAAAACGAAGCTCGGATGGAAGCCTTGCTACAGCCAGGGACGTGGAAGGAGCGAGGTGTCTAATCCCGATCAGTTTCTCCCTGCAAATAGATCCGCCTACAATGCAGGCTCTGTTCTGACTCAGGGAGCTGACGTGTGTGTAAAAGGAGAGCCGGGGTGGGAAGAGGGCTCAGCAGGTAAAAAGCTTGCCATGGCATGCAGGCCTGAGTCCAGATGGCCAGCATCCATGTAAAAAGCTGAGGGAGGTGGTGTACCCCTGTAATACCAGTGCTGGGGAAGTGGAGACAGGGGGATCCGGGGGATCACTGGCGGCCAGTCTAGAACAGACAAGCTCCAGGCTCAGTGAGAGACTCTTTCTCAATAAAAGAACAAACAAATAGAAAGAAAAAGAAAATTGTGGAGCAGAATAGAGCTCCAATAGTGATCATTGACCACTGACCGCCACACACCCATGTATGTGAGTACATACATGTACACACACATGCATACACCACATACACATAGAGATGAGAGCCTAGAGCAGTGCCAAGCATGAAGCTTTTGGCAAAGGAATTATTAACTTTTTTGCCAGGCAGTGGTAGCACATACCTGTAAACCCAGCACTTGGGAGGCAGAGACAGGCGGATCTCTGAGTTTGAGGCCAGCCTGGTCTATAGAGCAAATTCCAGGACAACCAAGGCTACACAGAGAAACCCTGTCTCAGAAAAAGAAGAAGAAGGAGGAGGAGGAGGAGGAGGAGGAGGAGGAGGAGGAGGAGGAGAAGAAGAAGAAGAAGAAGAAGAAGAAAAGGATGGAAGGAAGAAAAGAAAGAAAGAGAGAGAGAGAGAGAAAGAAAGAAAGAAAGAAAGAAAGAAAGAAAGAAAGAAAGAAAGAAAGAAAGAAAGAAAGAAAGAAAGGAAGAATTATTAACTTTTCAGACGTTCTTCGCCAGCTCTGCCCTGGATGCCCACCTCCCTTGTTACCCACTGGCTCACCTGTCCATTGACCTTTTTTTCACGGGTCCTACTCTCAGCACATTCTGCTGGCACTCCATTCTAGAGGAAGAGTCAAAAGGTCAGAGAATGAAGCAAGCCACCAGCTCAGGCTGGGGTAGCAGTCATGTGTCCAGATCCACAAGGATGTAGGTCCCCTCAAAATCTGCCAGAACTTACTTGCCACGCCCTCCCTCTCAGGTCTGGTTCCAGAACCGCCGTGCCAAGTTTCGCCGGAATGAACGTGCCATGCTGGCCACCCGCTCTGCCTCGCTGCTCAAGTCCTATGGCCAGGAGGCCGCCATTGAGCAGCCTGTGGCCCCCCGACCTACTGCGCTGAGCCCGGATTATCTGTCTTGGCCAGCATCATCCCCCTACAGGTGAGATTGGGGAGCTCCTTTGGGCCAACAGGGGCAGCTGGAGCCCCGTGAGATCTTTAAGGCCACCTCTCTGGGGAGAGCTTGGATGGTGTATGGATGAGTGTGTATATATGACAGTGCATATGGATGTAAGAGCCTGCATATGAGAGCGCAAGTATGCACAGGATCATGAGTGTGTGTGTGTGTGTGTGTGTGTGTGTGTGTGTGTGTGTGTGTGTCCACACAAGTGTTGATGTGCAGTGTGTATGTACATGCATGTGGAGAGGGAAGAAGTCAGGCTTACCTGGAGGAGAGCAAAGGGTGGGCTCCACCCTGAGGTAGCTAGAAGGCTAAAGGAAGCATCTCAAGCCAGCGCCCTGTATCCACCCTCCAGTCTGGGAGTGCTGAGGGTAAGTTTTCTTGTCCTGTGATCCTGTTGGGGTCTAGAGTCATGTAGTGGAGTGGCTTTGCTGTTTAAGACAAACAAACAAACAAAATAAACTCCCTCCTTGGGCTAGAAAGATGGCTCAGAGGTTAAGCGCACTGGCTGCTCTCACAGGGGCCCTGGGTTCAGTTCCCAACACTCACATGGTGGCTCACAACCATCTGTAACTCCACAGGGACAAGGCACTCATGTGGTGTGCTGGCATACATGTAGGTAAACATACACATAAATACAAAGTAAAGTCAGTCTTTAAAAAAAATATGGCACGCCGGGCGGTGGTGGCGCACGCCTTTAATCCCAGCACTCGGAAGGCAGAGGCAGGCGGATCTCTGTGAGTTCGAGGCCAGCCTGGTCTCCAAAGCGAGTTCCAGGAAAGGCGCAAAGCTGCACAGAGAAACCCTGTCTCGAAAAACACAAACAAAAACAAAAAAAAATATGGCTCCCTCCAAGATGGCCAGGCGGAAAGGAGGGGATGCTAAGGAGTTGGGCCACCACCACATTCCAAAGCTCTAGGAGTTCCATCCTCTCACCTGCATAGATGACACTGCAGGAGCCATGAACCTCTGGAAGGGAATGTTGGGTCGGTTAGTTTGTGTGGCTCCTGGGTTACCAACCTCCCTCCCTGATCCATCCTCACCCGGCAGCACTGGGCACAGAGTACTGCTACATGTCCCGCTCTCAAGAGGGTCTCGATCCAGACAGGAATGCCAATAAACAAAAGGTGAGGGTCTCACACTCTAGCCTAGGCCATCCTCCTGCCTCAGCATCCCCGATGTTGGGATTATAGTGATGTGAGCCTCTCCATCGGGCTGGGGAGGTGCCTTTGACCCAGTGCTACCTCTAGACGCTTGTCTCCTGCCCCTGGCCAGGGCCACCCCGAGCTGTCAAGGGAAGTAGGACTAGCCAGATGCACCAATGGGGTCCTCTGTTTCCTGTCTCCCCAGCTCTGTGCCTCCCTACAGCCCCGGAGGTTCAAGTCCTGCGACCCCCGGGGTCAACATGGCCAACAGCATTGCCAGCCTGCGTCTCAAGGCCAAGGAGTTCAGCCTCCACCACAGCCAGGTGCCCACAGTGAACTGACAGTGTGCGCTGGGCCCAGCCTCCTCCTGACCCAGTGACAGACAGCAGCAATGGAAGTGCCCAGAGGGCCTGGGCAGCCTCTCCTGTGCCTTCTCTCCATCCCAGCTTCCTGAGTTCCGGAGGCCGGCTGGGTACCGGAAGTGCCTACGGTGGCTGAGGTTGTGGCCTGAGGTCCCTGGAGTGGCCTGGCCAGAAGGTGGAACAGGAGTCCGCCAAGGAACTCACTTATGTATTAAAACCAAAAAGCTTTTGTCTTTAAGGAATAAAACCATTTTTCTTAAGCTCCTCGAGACTTCAGAAGGGCACGACGGGTGCTCCCAGAGGGTGCCAGCACCTGGCTGCCTGGGTCACAGCCCTCCTGGTGGGTAGCAGTTTGAAGGTGGCATCGGGCCTGGACTGGCTGATACAGCAGCTTCAGTGAGGCTCACCGCCACCTCACCTGTACGGTTCTTGGGGGGTGGTGCTGTCACCGCACGGGGTCCCCAGAAGGGAGAAGGGCAGAAGGCAGAACCTGCTCCAGGTTCACTTCCATTCTGAGGCCCATGGGGACACCTGGAGGCTCTGGAGGCGTCTTGCTGGGTGACTGGCCAGGGCACAACTCTTTCACTTCATGAGGTGTGGATGGGTGGCCACTGCGAGAGTGTAGGGACAGGGGCTGGGGGTGGATTCTTCTACTGAGCATGCACAAGTGTGGCATCTGGTCATTTGACCGTGGAGGGTGCCCTGGCTTCCTTTCCAGTTGCTGGGGCAAAATACACCGGCAAAAAGCAATTTAAGGGAGAAAGGATTTACGTTAGCTCGTAACTCCAGGTGAGGTCCACCATTGTGAAGAAGTTGAGGAGTCAGGACCTTGAAGCAGCTGGTCACACCCATAGTCAAGAGCAGGGAGAATGAATTCATATATATGCTCAGATCCCTCTTTACGCTTCCACAGTCAAGGAGCCCCAGGCTTGGGGAATGATGCTGCCCACAGTGGATGGGTCTTCCCACACCATTTGATGTAATCAAGACGGCCTGCCACAGACATGTCCATAGCCAACTTTCTCCAGACAACCCCTCATGGAAACTTTCTTCATAGGTGATTCCATATTGTGTTGAGATCACAAAACTAATCATTACATGGCTGGAGAGATGCCTCAGTGGTTAAGAGCACTGGCTGCTTTTCCAGAGGACCTGAGTTCAGTTCCCAGAACACATAGTAAGCTGCTCGCCACCTTCTATAATTCCAGCTCCAGGAGATCCAGTGCCCTCTTCTGGCGTCTGTGGGCAACTATCCTCATTTGGCATACACACACAGATACACATTCTTACACATTAAAAAAAAAAATTTGAACCTTAAAAAAAAATATCACAGGAGGGCCCAGCTCTGAGGTCCTAGACAGACTCCCAACACAGTGCTGACAGCTGAGACCATTAGAAAGCCTACCCATTCCTCCCATCCACAGGCAGAAGTGGGGTGACAGGCCATGTGCCACCACCCAGTGTCATCACTGAGGAGGATCTGCAGACAAGGAGAGTGGACAGAAGCTCCCCAGCCCCAGCAAGAGTACAGCCTTGCAGCCAACAGATATCCCAGGACAGCCCCAATCCACCATGATGACCTGCCCCAGGAGTGCAGATGAGATGGACCCCTCAGGATGGTGGCATATCCTATCTAGACGTGGTTAGTACAGTGGGCCGACTTTCCCATATCTGCCCCCTAGCTCACATTCCATGAAGTGTGGTACTTTAGACAGCCTAAAACAAGCTATTCTTATACACAGGGCATACTGTAGCTCAGGATGACCTTGAACTCCTTATCTGCCTGACTCCACTTTCCTGAGTGATGGACATGGGCCACCACACTCAGATGAGCATCATTTTAGTTTTTGTTGTTTCTTTTTTTTAATGTGTGTGTGTGTGTGTGTGTGTGTGTGTGTGTGTATGCCACATGTGAGTGCATTGCCCAAAAAGGCCAGAAGAGGGCATCAGATCACCCGTTATTGGAGTTACATGCAGTGACCTGCCTAGATATGGATGCTAGGAACCAAACTCCCATCCTCTGGAAGAATGGCAAGCACTCTTAACCACCGAGCCATCTCTTCAGCCCCTGGGCATCAGTGTTTCTTTAGAAGGTACTGGAAGGTTGGGAGTGTAGCTCTGTTGGTAGAATGCTTGCCTAGCATGCACAAAGCCCTGGATTCTATTCCCACCACCACCTAAAAGTAGACATGGTAGTGCACACCCATAATGCCAGCATTTGAGAAAGGCTAAGGATCAGAAGTTCAAAGTTACCCTTGGCTTCAGTAAGTTTGAGGCCAGCCTGGGCTATGTGAAATGCCATCTGAAGGTTGGGGCAACAGTTCCGGGTGAAGTGAGGGTTCAGACAACACTCTTTCAGTTAGATCCCTTAGCTTTCTTCCTCTCCTTCCCGCTGGAACCCCAGCAGAGACCTTGTGGGTTCAGCATGGTCTTTGGATGTGTAGCACTCCTGGGAAGGGGCAAGACTTACTTCCTTGGCAACAGGGACCTTGGTCATGTGGGCTTGTTCGGGACTGAAGGCAGAGAAATGGGCATTCTAGTGCTGTCTAGCAGCCCATCTGAAGGCAAGGACCCGGCCAAGGCCAGAGGAGGCCTGTGCTCTGGGCTGGGGCACGGACAGCTGTGCTCTTCTGTTCTGTGTTTTGAAACAGGGTGTTGTGGAGTTCCAGGCTGGCACTGAACTCCTGATTCTCCAGGCTCTGCCCTCAGGTACAGAGATTACAGGCGTGTGCTGCCATGACAGGTTTATGTGGTTCTGGGGGTAAAACTCCGGTTTTCTGCATGCCCAGGTATGTTCTGGTTTTGTATCTGCTCTGGGTGTGCACTCCCTGGGCCTCTGTCTGTCACTCCTTCACTGAGTCTATGACACACTCAACATGGGCTCCAGCTTTTGGGGTCTGGAGCAAGGGTTTAGGGCAGAGAGCAGGCCACAGGGGTGGTACTCGTCACAAGGAATATACTACATGAGTAAATACCCCATTAGCCTAAGGCTATGACAGAGTGTCTCAGGGGCCCAGAGAGCACAACAGAAGCCTTGGGTCAGGTCAGAGGCTTCTCTTGGGCCAGGGGACCATTTCCATAGGTGAGCTTCCCGGAAAAAGGAAAAGAACTGTTTGGAGGGGCCCTTCCAGGGCAGGGGGTGTGGGAAGGAGGAATATGCCCTCTGGTCTTAGTGTGGAGGAGGGACTGTGGCTTGAGAGTAGAGTCAGAGATGCCCTGTCAGAAACTGAGGCAGGTGTCCAGGCAGGAGGGTCAGTGGCTTGGACAATATGGAGACAGTGTGGGTGAATGCGGAAGACGTCATAGAAGCAGGATGGGCCTCAGTCGATGACTAGAAGGTGGCTGAGGAACAAAAGGAGGCTTGGATACACAAGAGTACCCAGGAGAAGAGACCTGGATATAGGATCTGCCTCATGGAAGTTTCTAGAAGTTGGCTGTGCCTAAGTAGGGTCTTCAGTACACAGTGTTTGTTCCTTCCTTTATCTGAGGAATTCTATCAGCACAGTCCAACTCACAGGATGAAATGTGGCCTAAAGCAATACCTTTTTTTCCCTCATGTAACTGGGAGTGGATGTGGGAACAGGCCTTCCCAGTTACCAGGCCAGGGACTCAGAGTCCAATGGAGACCCATCCATCTTTCTATGTAAATTTTTAAAAATCTATTTTTATTTATATGTATATGTATATGGCTGCTTGTCTCTGTGTGTGTGTATGCACTGTGGAGCTGCAGGTGCCTGTGGAGGCCAGAAGAGGGCGTCATATCCCCTAGAACTGGAGTTGCAGGCAGTTGTGAGCTACCTGATGTGGGCCCTGGGAACTGAACCTGGGTCCTCTGTAAGAGCAGCAAATATCCTTAACATTGAGCTATCTCTCCACCCCACCCGGCCCCCAACCCTGCCAACTTTCTACTTTATAGTCCCTAGAGTCAAAATACCACAGAGAACTGAAGGCCGGCTGACTGCTGTCAACTCGGGGTCCCACTGATTGGGGGCCTGGAAGGTGGGCCCTGGAAATGGCAGCTTTGGAAAATACTGGAGGCCATGTTCCCACGGACGACCATGAGGATGTCCATGTCACTTCCACTCTGGCACTCTAGAAAAAATAAACCAACTTAATAGTTTGCACATGCTACTCTGGAAGCCAAGGGAGGGCTTGCAGCCCGCCCTCTCTGCAAAGCAGAGACTATTAAACACTGCCGTCCCTGCTGTGCCTGGCTGCAGATCTGTGTGGGGGCAGCTTCCTGGGCACCCGTCCCAGGCTGTCCTCTTTCTATAAAGCCAAGGCACCTGAAGCCCCAGCCCAGCCCATTCTCCCTGGCTTTGCCTATTTAACCAAAGGAAGAGGGCATCATGTCTGCTTTTATTTCTTACAACGGGAGGGTAGGGAGAGGGAGAGAGAGAGATTCTAAAACAAAACAAAAAAAAAAAGAAAAGAAAAGAAAAAAATTAGCAGCAGAAGAGCAGTCTGTGGCTGAGGGCCTTGAGCAAGGCCCTTCATGTCTCATCACACCTGGCGTATGTGGCGCTGGGGTGGAATCTAGGACTTAGTTCCTGCTAGCTAGGCAAGCCCTCTCCCAACGGAGCCACATGTCCAGCAGTTCTTACTGTGGAGGAGCAGAGTGAGGGGCAGACAACGAAGAAGTCAAAATGCCCCTCTGAGACTAGCGGGATGGTACGGCAATGCTGCTCTTGCAGAGGACCTGAGTTCAGTTCCAGCACCCAGCTCCAGCTCCAGGGATCTGATGCGTTCAAATGCAGATGCACGCACGCAATTTTGTTTGCTGTTGCTGTTGTTAAGACTGGGTTTCTTTCTGTACCTCTGGCTGTCCGGGGAATAACTCTGTAAACCAGGCTGGTCTGGAACTCACAGAGATCTACCTGCTTCTGCCTCCCTAGTGCTAGGATTAAAGAGGTGAGCCATCACTCCTGGCTTGATATACATGTTAAAAATAAAAACAAATCTTTAGGGGCTGGAGAGAGGGCTTAGCACTCAAGGGCAATTGCTGCTTTTCCAGAGGACCTGAGTTCAATACCCAGTGTCTACATGGTGGCTCCCAACCATCTGTGACTCCAGTCCCGGGTCAAAAGAGTTCATTCTGTTGCTCTCCCCTGGCCTCTGTGGGCAGTGCACACACATGATGCATAGACACATGTGCAGGCAAACACATATAAAATAAATAAATAAATCTTGAAAAAATATTCCTGCCAAGCATGGTCATCTACACTTTTAATCCCAGCATTTGGGAGGCAGAGGCAAGCAGATCTCTGTGAGTTTGAGGCTAGCCTGGTCTACAGAGTGAGTTTCAGGCCAACTAGACTTTATAGAGAGACCCTGTCTTGAGTGGGGGGCGGGGAGGAAAGGAAGGATGAGGATACTCTGACAGAGCAAGGGAATGAGCTCTCTTGTCCAGAGAGCTTGGCTCATGTCTGGTTCAGGGGTGGTGGGTGTTTTGTGAAGAGAAAGAAGGGAGGAGGAGGAGGAGGAGGAGGAGGAGGAGGAGGAGGAGGAAGAGTAGGGAGGTGAGGGTGGATCTGGGATGAGTT